GGTTTAGTGGTGGGATGGCAGGGTTAGGTTAAAGGTTGGACTCGATGATCTCAAAGGTCTTTTCCAACCAAAGCGATTCTATGATTCTGTGTAATGGGAGATACAGACATAAACACACATCAGAGCCCGATTGCCAAGAGGGTTATCTTCTGTAGTATAAAGGTTTGCTGCAGAGCTTGGAGGGTGTCATAAATGACTGAAGTAACAAGAAGAGAAAGGTTATTTTTAGAGTTTTCTAGTTTTTGACATGATGGGAAGACTTAAACTGGCTTTGCCACCTAAGGGAAAATAGCTATTTCTACCTTAAGGGGCCTTTGGAGCCCAGCAGGTAACGAGCCCTTGTAGAGCTATGGATCCAAGCAGGATAACGGGGCGCTCGTGGGCGCCAGGGGCAGTGTGGAGTGAGCACAGCGAGGTTACGTTCTCTGGTGTCTGGCACGGACCTGCCTGTTGCTGGTTTCTGTCCAGTTCTGGAGTCAGTAATTCCTCTTCACCGATAGCAAGTACGCCCTGAAGGGAGAGGCAGATGCTGCTCAATCCAGTTACTTAACATGGAGAAGGTTACGATGACTTAGTAAGTGCTTAGGTAAGGAAAGCGATGTCATAGCAACGCCAGCTGCCAAAGACATGCCGTCGCGCAGTCGCGGGAACCTGAAGCTTTCAGGGTTACTTGGCCGTGGGTAAAGACAATTCTGGTGACGTTTCTCGGAGGTTAAAGCTGTGCATCAGCCTCCGTCTGTTGAGAACGTTTTTTCTGCCCAAACAAGGGGAGCCAGGTTACTCATGGTTACTGGACTTCACGCGGGATCGCTTGGCTCCAGCTCTGTGGCCTCCATAACGGAGAGCAGCCCAGAAGATCTCGGCGGGTTTCCCTGCCCATGGAGTCAGTGAACTGCCATTTTGTGCGGACTTGGAAAAGCGCCAGATTGAGGGTTCAAGCGCGGGACAATGCGCTTTAATTTTACTTGAATGTTCCTCTTAAATTTTTGTTGCAGTTACAGAATTTGTTTGAGAACCTGCTGGCCATCAGTTTTGCAACACATTTTGTTCAGCTCTGATAGTGCTGGCGTTATTCTCGAGCATTTGGGAGCATAGACAGAAACCCTCCTGACTGTTAGCATGGTACCAAGATTCCCTGCACTTCTGTGATTATGAAAGCTTTTTCTAATGTTGCTGCTCACTTCTCCGCTGCTCATCTCCTACAGAGAATTTTTTTCTGTTTCACCCAGCATTTGCCATTTTCAGACTGCGGCCTCTCCATTAAGACGACACAGTTGTCTTGGTTAGCGAGCGTTCGCAAGGGGTCAGTCTGCCACAGAGGTTTTAAGGGTTTTTTTGCTTTGAGGAAGACGTTTGGGGCCTCTTGGACTCACTTGGGCCTTTTGAATGCTAAGACACTCCAAAGTGACTGTAGCAAAGCAAAGACTAAGTTCGGCCCTGCATGATAGGGTCTCTCCTGGCAGCGAGGAGCTGTTCCCTGGCTTTCTCTCAGGAGGCGAGCGCATCCTGTTAACGATGAACCTTAGCACAGGCACAAAGCTGCTTCGTTCTTCTGAAAATCTCTGAACTGTGGATTCATTTTCTTCTTTACTTGACTGTCTGTGTAAGCAGCTATTTTAGGTTTTGTCTGAAGATGAGGATATTGGGAAGGTGTTCTTCTAAATGTGCCCTGAAAGTCGAGCGTCAGGGAAAGCAGAGGACAGGACTGCATCCGCCAGCAGAAGTGCCAAAGTCCTTTGCAGGGTTAGTGGCTCATCGCTTGGGTGCGGTAATTGGGTTGAGGTTTGCACAGGACACAACTGCGCGTGCGGCAGCCTCAGATGAGCGTTCTGGAAACCTCCTGTCAAGGATATGAAATCTGTCTCTGTGCAGTGGAGCCCTTCTCTGAGCACCTTATGCCTCTCGACACGGGTGATGAATCGTAGCGTCTTCTGTCTCTGACATGCAGATGCACGGATAATTCTGTTAAAATAGCGACAGAACTGCTGAGGTACGCGTGACGCTTGCAACAGCGATGCGAGGCTCTAGAGTAAGCTTCTGATTAAGATGTAGGAGGGAAATTCTTTTTGAAAGCATAAATTGTGTAGGAACTGAAAGGATCACAAAGAAGCTGTAAGATGCTTCCACAAAGGAACTCTATCACCAGCACCGTTGTAGTTAGCAAATGTAAAAACCATGTTACACAACTGATGTCTTGGAACAATTATTTTGATTCCTGTAGGTAAGAAAGAGCCGGTTACGATAACTGCCAAAGTGGGAACCCTCAAAAGAAAGCAGCAGATGAGAGATTTCCTGGACCATTTGCCAAAGGACAACCATGACGATGTTTTCACCGCGACGCCCTTTCAGAACCGAAGAGTAAAGGTAAATGTGGGAAAGCGCTGTACCTATGGTAAGCTTTGCTGGCTGGCGTTGGAAGGGTGTTACAAGTCTGCTGGTTCAGTTCCATCAATAGAGCCCCGTGGGTTTGGGGGAAGAGGCTTAGTTCCTGGATTTGTTATCGCGATGCTTCGGTTGCCGGCAGCGAGACCGTGTGGCGCGTGGCTTCTGCAGACGAGGATTACTGCCGAATGGACGTGTAAAACCCGCCGTGGCGGGGGTGTCCCCTCCGCCCCCACGCGGGAGGAGCTGGGAAGCATCGGCTGTGCTGTGACAGCGCTGTCCCGGGGACGGCCACCGGATCCTGTGCTGTGGAACCAGGTGCTTCCTGAAGTCACGCAGATGCTTCACAGGATTTTTTTTTTTTCTTTCTCTCCTCGGCACATCTCACATGTAAAACCACGTGCCTCTTGGTGCTGCCTGGGGGTGGGTTTCTCTTTGGGAGCCCCGATATCCTCACGCCCTGGCACATGCCTGTTGTTTGCTCGCCCTCTGCTCTTTGTTGCCTGTTTGGGCTGAGGAGCTGCCCCGTTTCCCTGGTTAGGCTCACTTTTGGGGACCAAGGGAGGTGGTGTGCCCTCCCCTCCTGCCCCACCTGCAGCCCCAGGCACAGCTGGCAGATGCAGCCCCAGAGCTGGAGAGCGTTCCCCGACCTCAGTGGTAAACCTCCCCTTCGCTGTGGTGAGGTTAGTTAAGACGCTGATTTCATTTGTAAAGAAAAGCCACTCATTTATCAAGAGAATTTCCGCCCCCCCCCCGTAGAGAATTTTTGAAGTCTATTTCATGATGCGTCTTTCTTTTTGCTGTTACCAAAGCAGCTCTGCCTGCTAAAACTGGTGCCGCCCTTCCAGCAGGGACTCCCAACCCCACCTGGGCATCTCGTCATACATTTGTTCTTTCGTGGGTTTTCTTCGTAGCAAGAGCACGTTTCTCACTCTGGCATGCACCCAGGGGTAGAGTAAGGCCGGCTCATGGGAAAGCCAGAATTTAGGCAGTGGTAACTTCCCTGCTTTCTATAAACCGCAGTGCGCTATGGAGAAGTCCCCATGACTACTCTGGGCGGATCGGCTGTGAAAGAATCCATGCATCCCTGTCCATGACACCCTGTTGTTGCAGAGGGGTTCTCCAGGAGACTCTGCTTTTGGTAGAACACAGCTGCAGCCAGTGATTCAAAAAGATTCTCCCTTCTTTTCTTTTCCAAGTCCATTCTGCCTAGCTGGTGCTGTGCAAAAGCAGCTGGCCTCCTTGCCATGCACGGCCAGAGCTGTAGCTCCAGGGAGAACTCTGGATTCCCCTTCCATGAACTAGCCCAGCCCCTCCTTGAACCCATGCAGACTTTTCACAGCTGCCGTTTCTTGTGCTAAGCTCCAGAGCTGAATTACTTGCTGTGCGAAGCAGAGGCCTTTATTTGTTCTGACCTTGCACCTGCTGGCTTTGTCCTCCTCTTCTCACGGGGAAAAGGCAGTGAACAACTGTCCTGGTCCCTGCTCACCCCCGATGCCAGTTACAGTTCTCCTCTCTCTTCAAAATAGAAGGACCAGAAGTTCACTGAGTAATCCTGAAATCCTCCTCCCGAGTAGTAGTGCTCAGCTTTGAGCTTGTCATTTTAATTAGAAATTATTTTTTTGAAGGTGTGGTAGCAGCCAAAAAAGGCCAGCAAAATGCTGAGCATCAGCGGGAGGAGTATTAGGAGCAAGACCGAGGCGTCGCTTGGCTGCCATGTCGAGTCCTTGCACACCCGCGTACGGTGCACACTGCTGGTTTCTGCGCCTCAGGAGGGACATGGTGGAGTCAAAACCACACCTGAGGCGAGCCAGGGCACGGAGCCTGTTAAGGAGAGGAGAGCGAGCCTGGGACTCCTCCCCCGGGGGGAGAGGGACACAACCAAGGTTCCCAGGGTTGCGAAGAGGCTGTGGCCCATCGCCGCTCTGAGACAGCCCCAGGAGGTGCCTTTTCAGCAGACTTTTGTTCAAAAGGGCAGGTCACTGATTGCTCTGATGTGGCTTTGTAGTTGCCAGCGTTCCGGGGAAGCTATGATGATGACGACGAGGACTTTGCACTTACGGACAACCCGATCACCCCCTCCTCAGCTGTTTTCCCTATGGTGAAAACCCCTCAGTGCGAGCACATCAGCCCCGGTATGCTGGTGCCCATCAACAGGTAGGAGCTCGTCCTGCTGGCCCTCTGCTAACCTCCTCCTTGCTCATTTTCCCCAAGATTGGTTTCTGTCTTCTGAGAAAGGTCGCTCTTGGAACTGGGACGCCAGTTCACTCCCAGACTTCGAGCAGGCACAGTAAATCCTGCAGCCCCAGAAGGGTTCCCTGAGAGGAAGCCCTGCGCGCAGTCTGAGCTGCTCAGCTGAGTGTGGGCGATGAAAACAAAGCCCATCGCCCCTCCTTGTCCTCTTGGAGAAGGTCGTGATTGGGCTTCAGCCTCAGCAGAGGTTTCTCCGCTCATGGTGACTCTTAAACCTGTTAACCCAATTGCTTCAGGCTTTGCTGAAACTGGAATCATCTCGAAACTTGCAGAGTAACTGGCATTTTATCTAACGGACAAGAACCGAACATCATCTGGGAGGATGATGAAGCTTTGCCCGACACCTGCATTAGGAGTTCCAGCATGCGATCTAACGCAACACTTCGCTCCCAGAGCTGCTGTTGTATTTCATTGGCCAACAACTGGTTTTAGTGGCCGTGCTAATTTTCTTTCTGAATTTGAGCTGTATGTACGGTGCCTTTAGCGGTATCCGGCGGGTTCCGTGGGCGGCGCACCAGTGGCGCTAACGTGCTTAATTACCTCCACAGGACTGACTGCGACAGGCACGTGTTCCGAATGCAGAAGAACACGCGGGGCAGCAGAGGCACCTGGGACAACGTCAAGAAGCAGCCGGTAATGCCGATTCCCTTGAGCCTTGCCTAGTTCCGCCTTAGCGATGCAAAGCTTGGCTCAGCAGCAGGCAGAAGCAGCCCGGGATGGCAGGCTGGCGGTGCATATTCCAGATGGAAAACAGGAACCCTCCCCTGCTTCCTCCCAAACGCCTGGGCTTTGTATCTGCTGCTCTTGGCGCCAAGTTCTGTTTGTTAGAAAAGAGCTGTTTGGGGTCAGGCTTAGATACGCTGCTTTGTTTTCAGGATTTGTAACTGCTCTTGAACCCCGTGACCCCTAGGTACATTGCGTTCCTGTTACGTGCTTCGGTACAGTGGGAGAGAAAACAGTAACCCTCACCTTGTACCAGAAAGCCCGCCCATTTATGTATTTATTCCTGCAGTATCCTAGGCTTTATAATTCTTCTGGCTTGTCCATGGAAGGCTGAGGCCCCAGGAGCAGCCTGGGGACAGCACTGGTGGTAGTTGAGCAGTTTAAGTCGTTAGCTGGGAACTGCAGCACAGCGACAGGGCAGGGCCGCGGGAGCGCTGCCGCGTTCCCCCGCCGTCGCTTGCTGGCGCTCGGTGCGTGTTCCGCACGTTTGGGCACCTCCGCCTTCTGGCCCTGACCGCCCCCTCTTCTCCTTGCAGAAGCGCAGCAGGACTCCCTTGTAGGGAAGCTCTTCCTGGCTGAGCCAGCAGACTCGTCCGACGAAGAAAACAACGATTCCCATTCTTCTGTTTAATGAACTTTATGGATTTTATTCGTTTCGGTGCCTCTGGTACGAAGCAAAGGGGCTTGGCCGCCCCTCGGAGCTGGGATTCCCGTGATGGTGGCAGTTTGGTTTGGAAGCCTTGACGTGTTTCACCTCCCTCCTCCTCCCCCTGCCTGTGCAGCAACGCTTGTCCCTTCCGTGGGTACAAAGCAGCACTTCCTTGCCCAGCCTCCTCCTCGCTGTTGCCCTGTTTCTCCTGGGGAGGGAGAAGTGTACTCGGAGTCCAGTGACTGGCAAGTTTGGATTCATTTTAAGATAAAATATCTTTCTGAACTGCGTCTGTACAATAAATTTGATACAGCCTGTAACTATTTGGAATTACTTTTTAACTTCCTCTACTGACTCTGAATTTTTACATGTCCTTAATGTAATAAAAAAGAACAAGGCTTATCCTACTCACCTACGGATCTGCCTCTCTGGGGGAAGAAGCGGTAGTCGCGAGCGGTCATCCTGTTACCGGGGCTGGCTGCTCCTCTGGCCGCTGGGCCCTGCTCGCCCCCCTCACTTCTGTGCCGGCCTGTTCACCAACATGCTCCAGGAAGAGAGAGGGAGGAGTAAAACCAAGCAGTTCCTCTGCCAGGTAGCCACAGCATGGCAGCAGCACGCTGGAGCCCCTGGCCCTGCCTGCAGGAAGGCTCCGTGCTGGGGGGAACCCAGAGGGGAGGCCTGGGTGGCAGGGAGGAGATGGCGGCTGTGAGGCCGCCGCTGGGCAAGGGGCCTTACCCCCTGCCCTGGGCCTGTCCATCCCCGCTTCAAACCCAGCGAACCTTCCAGAGCCATGGGCAAGAAGAATGAGGAACACTTGGAATTCCACTTTTTTTTTCCTAGGAAACACAGGCACTGCTTGTGCGCAGGGATGTGGTGGTGGCAAGGAACTGCAGGTGGGCTCCGTCCCTTCTGGCCTAAGCCAGAAAGCTTTGCTTTGCCAAAACACCTCAGCCATCGGGCTCCTTTTTAAAGAGGTTTTGGGACAATGGCACCCAGCAGACAAAAGCCAGCCCTCCCCCTGGGGGCACTGACCTGCCTGACAGCCTCCCTTCGGTGACAGACAGAAGCGGCTGTCGCGCAGCCAGGAGCCCCTGCTGTTTCTGCAAGGATTTATTTACAGATTTTACAGTGAATCAGAACTCGGTAAAGTGCAGTTAAAAGAAAGCAGCCCGGGGGTGCGGAACGCAAGTTTCACTGCCCTCAGCTCTTGGCGGCTGCGTTGCTTCTCCCCTGCGCGCAGAGGCTCTCGGGCAGCATCTGCGCCTCAAAACCGTAGTGGAGGTAGCGGTAGATCTCCTCCGCCTTCTGCGGGCTGACCTGGGCGCCGGCGGCGATGTCCAGCGGGGAGCTGTGAGAGACAAAGGGGGAGCTGCCAGGGGGTGCCCAGTGCCAAGGGGGCAACGGGGACGCTTTCCAGTGAGGGTGGTGAAACCCTGGCAGGGGTTGCCCCGAGAGGGGGTGGAGGCCCCATCCCTGGGAACATTCCAGGCCAGGTTGGCCGGGGCTGTGAGCAACCTGATGTGGTTCAAGGTGTCCCTGCTCCTGCAGGGGGGTTGGGCTGGGTGACCTCTGGGGGTCCCTTCCCACCCAAACCATTCTGGGATTCTATGACACCACCAGCTGCCGGCCGGCGCCTCTGCGGGTGCCTGAGGGCTGCGAGCGCCAAGCAAGCCTGAGAGCTGCGGAGGGAACAGGGAGAGGGGCAGGGAAAGGGGGGGCAGTAGGAGGGGTGGCAGAAGCAGAGCCCCTTGCCCTGGTCCACTCAGCCTGAAGAAGTGCATAAAGAACGGCGCGGGCGGGAGGCGGGAAAGCTCCCGGGGAGCTCCGGCAGTACCGGGAAGGATCCCCCTGAGCAGCTCCCCCAGCAGGGGGTCCCGGCGAGGCGGCGGAGCCAAGGGGCAGTCAGGCCCCCGAGCACTGGCCGCACATCCTTGCTGTTACCTGTTGGCCATCTTCTTCACGGAGCCGAAGTAATGGCACATATTGAGCGCAGCCAGGTAGCTGAGATTGGGGATGCTCAAGTAGAAGTTGAGCATCTCCCGCCTGCGACCCTCCACCTCCGTTGGCACGCGAATGGCGGCGTTTTTCCTTTGCTCCACCAAAGCCAGGTCTTTCAGCAAACCGGCAGTTTCCTCTTGGGAAGCGCTGAAGAGAACTCGGACCCCAGCCTGGACCAAGGCTGAGAGCACGCCGTCGTAGTACTGCGTCCTCTGGAAAAATCGTGAGGTTTCTCCTGCAGAGTTAACATACAGAAAACTCGGTGAGATTTAAGTGCCAAATCACCATGAGAAATCCAATATGAATCACAAAGCAAAACGGCTCAAAGATCCCCTGCTCTGAGAGTTCCCAACCAAAAACAAGATGAGGGAAAGCATCTCAGGGAAAGGAGGCAGGAGGGGTCATAGGGGCAGGATTTCCTCGGCCATTTGAGAGGTAGAGTTTAGGAATTAACACTGAAGTTCCAAACTAAGGGTCATTAGGAGAGAGGATTGGGAGGAACACGTGATAGGTGATGAACAACAGCACAGCCCAAATCAGAAGTTTGGTAAAGCTCCGAAAGTAAGAACGCACTTGAACACGGTCAAACGAGAAACCAGCAGCGCTCCAGAAACAGCGTGATGAGAAAAACAGGACAAAGCCATCAACAGAACCTTCAGCAGCGGGGTGAAAAGGCGGCTCAAACACAATCCACTTCTCTACAGCCCCCGCTGAGAAGCTACATCTTCAGCGACCAATTCTATCATCATTTCCACATCTGAACCATCAATAAATTAGATTTATGCCACAAAAACAAAGCTGCATCCACAACAATTTGATTTCAATAGTGGAGTTTTATATCCCAGAACACCTGTAATTTCATTGGAGCTGTGAGCTCCAGTTTCATCTTCGGCGATGCAGGTGCGAGCAAAACCTCTCAATTATTTTCTAGATGGCACTGAGAACAGAGAGCCTTAGCAGAATCATTTGATTGCATAATTTGGACTTTAGGATTACAACGAATGGCTTGTCCAAACGAAAAAAATTAAAGAAATAAATAGTCTTGAATTTTCCACAAATGTTTCATCAAGTCAGGAGGCGTCTTTGAGACTCCTCTGCTCTGTGCTCTGTGACACGAGGCAATAGCTCAAACGCAGCCTTCCCAAAGTAACTCTTTGTAGGAGTGATCTTCTGTCTTTCTCCTAAAACCTCATCTCATTCAGCTGGTTATCTTCACAGAATCCCAGCCTGGCAGGGGCTGGCAGGGCCCCCTGGAGCTCACCCAGTGCCACCCCCCTGCCCAAGCAGGCTCACCCAGAGCAGGGGGCACAGGACAGCGGCCAGGCGGGGGTTGAAGATCTCCAGAGAAGGAGACTCCACAGCCCCCCTGGGCCAGGGCTCCATCACCCTCCAAGTCAACAAGTTCTTCCTTCCGTTCACCTGGAACCTCTTCTGCCGCAGTTTGTGCCCATGGCCCCTTGTCCTGGAGCTGGGCACCACTGGGAAGAGTCTGGCTCCGTCCTCGTGACCCCCACCCTTGAGATATTTGTAGGTGGTGATGAGGTCCCCTCTCAGCCTTCTCTTCTCCAGGCTGAACAAGCCCAGCTCCCCCAGCCTTTCCTCGTAGGGGAGATGCTCCAGTCCCCCCATCATCCTTGTTGCCCTCCTCTGGACTCTCCCCAGGAGTTCCTCATCCTTCTTGATCTGGGGAGCCCAGAACTGGACCCCGTGCTCCATCAGTACTTCGCTTGCTCAAGCGGCAGCCACTACGTGGTTTGGTCTCTACAATCTGGAGGTAGACTCAGTATGTGTGACGGCGTGCTCAGGCTGGCTATCACTCACTGGTTCTAAACCCTGAGAATTTTCCCCAGTGGTTTGACAGGTACCACTCACTGGGTTACTGCTAGGAAAAAATATTTTTCTCAAGTCCACTATTATCTTAGCGCCGAGCATAGGTAAGATTCTGCTTGTTCCTTTATTCTACTGTTCTCACCTTCCTTGTTGAAATTTGTCTTGAACTTGGGGTTTTCTTGCACAGGTTAATATGGTCAGTTAATAATGTTTGAGTTAGCTTGCTTTTCCCTGCCTCACTAATTAGCAAGCAATGCATCCCTCTGGATCCAGTTGTGTCTCTGCCTGTATTAAATAGCCCTCGAGAGCTAAACAAGTTTCAGTGTTCAGCTGCTGGCCTCATTAATGTCACACTCCTACAGAGACTGAAGCACAGGTTTTCAGTCTGCTTTCTGTCCCGCACTGTACACAAAGCCAGCGGGGCCAGTGCAAGCCTTGAGCAGAGACCAGCGCGGCCCCGTGGTGCCCCCGCCCAGGAACACCTACCTGGTTTAATCCTGTCCTTTTCCACAATCACACATATTCTGTCAAACGTGCTCTGCAGGCGCTGGATCCGCTGGGTGAGTTTATTCCTGTTCACAGAGTTCAGTAATTCTGACAGGAATTTCCTCTCCACCGCCATGCAGTTGCTCACGATGTAATCGCTGCTGCTCAGCAAGCAAACCTATCACAGAACCATGGAATGGTTTGGGTGGGAAGGGACCCCCAGAGGTCACCCAGCCCAACCCACCTGCAGGAGCAGGGACACCTTGAACCACATCAGGTTCCTCACAGCCCCGTCCAACCTGGCCTGGAATGTTCCCAGGGATGGGGCCTCCACCTCCTCTCTGGGCCCCATCCAACCTGGCCTAGGTGACCAACAAAACCTTCGTTTTGGCTTTATTTTAGCATAACACGGCAGCCTTCTCTTCTCCAGGCTGAACACCCCCAACTCTCCCAGCCTGGCCCCATAGCAGAGGGGCTCCAGCCCTCGGAGCATTTTCGTAGCCCTCCTCTGGCCCTGCTCCAACAGGTCCATGTCCTCCTGGTGCTGAGGGCTCCCGAGCTGGACGCGGGGCTCCAGGGGAGGTCTCCCCAGAGCAGAGCAGAGGGGCACCTTTACGCACCTGCACCTTTACGCCGTGAACTGCCTTCAGGGAAGAAATCACCTCTGCTCCAGAGGAGATCTCGCGGCTGTCTACCAGAATACAGAGTGAAGGTGCTTTCTCCAGAGGGTCCCGTGAAAATGGAGCTGTAGCTGAAGAGGGGTTTGTGGAAGCAGAACGAGGTGGGACTGAAGTGCTGCTGCGGGTG